ACTAATGATTAAAGAAAAACAGTTTAGTCCAATAATTGGAACCACATTCTGTTTTCTTTTCTTTGTAACTCGGAAGGTAATGTTACTTTAGATGTATAATTGTTTGGAAATAATAAACCATTGTGAATTATTTGGAGCGTTTTTTCTTTTTTAACATAAAGGATAGTTCATGCTTAGACTCAAAAATCAAATGCAAATTACATGCCATCGGCGTACAGGTTACCTAAAATTCTGGCAAAAAACCAAGGAAGTGCGAAATTCTAGAATAATTATAATTTCCAATTATGGAAAGGTACTCGAAGTCTATTATAAACCACCAATTTACTTATTGAGTCGATGGAAAAGTTGTGATTTATAAGCCGGCTATTTGGCAACTGATCAAAGGGTTTATACAACACCTTTGTAGAGGGATTAATTTTAGTTACAACATTAAGGGCCGTTTGTGATGGAATCGATACAACCACCTCTAAGGGCTGAGCCTTCCCCTATTGTTTGATAAACTGCTGGCCAGGCAGAAGGGCCAATGTTCCTTATATAGCCTTCATGAGGCAACAATAGTCTACACAATAGTCGCCTTCCTAGCTTTATGCTTTCTTAAATTGGTTCTGGATCTAATTTCGAGTACTGTGAAGGGTGAGCTCCGCGCGGGATAACTCACTTTGAAAGGTTTCTTCTTTTGACTTGCTTTTTATTAAAAATAAATCCGGCAACAAGTAGCATTTTTCGACTAAGGCTCTATCTTATGTCTTTATGGATGGGACGTTTGTTCAGGCTTTTTATGCCTTGAAAGTATATTATTCCAGATATATTTGATTCAGAATTTGAGGCTTTTTCTACTTTAAATCTAAAATAAAATCGCTGCAAATTATTTCACAATGGTTTATTATTTCCGAACAATTATACATCTAAAGTAACATTACACTCCTAGTGACAAAGAAAAAGAAATAAAAGGTGATTCCAATTATAGGACTAAAGATGTTTTTTTAATCATTAGTAATATGCTAAAAAAAATAGCATTACTTCAGTAACACATTCAAAAATCAAAAACCAAAACAAAGGATATAACCTTTGCAGTAGAACCTATAAAAAACATCTAGATACCACCATACCTTTCTCCTAATTGTCCGATTTTGCTCCTAATTTAACGATTTTTTAAAAAAAAATTTACCATTCCTCGTAACATGTTTTCCAGCTTCTTTTCGTTGAAGTATGTTATATAGATAAATTTAAACGGCATCAAGAGGAAGGCTTCAACGAAGTTTCATTGAAATTTGAATGGTACACTCGTTTAGGCGCTACAGTCTATAGCAACGCTGGTCGCCATCTTGAAAGGAAAAGGGGTAGAAATGTCTATACAGGAAGATCCTCGGGTGACCTCTAATTTTAAATCCAAATTTGATAATAATTGGTCGAGTATTTTCGGAGAAAATGCGTGAACGACGTACGGCAGTCTACGTATTCTGAAACGTGAAACCTCAAATTTTGAGAGGGGTTAAGTTTTTAAATTCTTTGTTCGATCACATGTTCGTTATTGAAAATAATAAACCAAAAAGAAACGATAGAATGTATTAAAACATGGGGCAATACGTTATCATTTAGCGTTCTTTAAACCAACTCTAGACTTATGGAACTTTAAGATATATCATAATATTTAATCTATCGGTTAGAAAGTTTGTGATGTGATTTTTTTGAAACGCCTCGAATCATTTTCAAGTTTATTAGATAAAATATAGTGTTCTCCATATTTTGTTAGTTATATGTTTTATGATCTCTTGAAGGATAATAAAGGGCAATAAGTCAAACCTCTGCGATAATTGCAAAGGTTTCTCTACACTGGTCGACTTTCTTTTTATAAGATTTTGAGTATTTCTTAAGCCACTCTGAAAGTTGAAACGAATTTTTATCAAGTTTGAAAATGTTTTAAATTTGTTTAAAATGATGAGTTCCACTCATATCCTTCAACAAAAATTAATTTATTAGCATTGGTGAAAGATACCACTTTCTTTCTTTACATAACACATTTTTAACCTTTTTAGAAACTTCTTTCTTTCCCAGGAAACCAGACTTGTGTGAATGGAAACATTTTCCGGCTATTTCTATTCTCTCTCTGTTTTTTCCGTCTATCCAGCTTTTTTTATTGAGGTGAAGCCCCAAAGTCTGTGACTTGTTCCAACTCGTTTTCCCTTTAGTCGAAGTATTCGTTTTCCACGTTCTTCCTCTCTTCCTATCTATATTACTTTGCTTTTACTGGTGTTAATCTCCGTGTTTAATAAAAATTACAATTCTTCATGGATTCTTAGGTTTCTGAGGTTGAATTGTAGATTTCTTCCGTTATTCCGAGTATGGCTATGTCATCAGCATAGCAAGAGGAGTGTGAGGTAAATTGAGTTAATTCTCTGTGACCCAGTCAAAATGGCATCATTCTCGTCTTTGTCCTTTACAAGGCCATGTTAAGGACCATTTTTATTTATTCCATTATATATTATGTCGAATAAAATTGACCCAACTTTGGCTTGTATCTCTTTGTCTCCATAGCCAGTCAACAGTTGTTTGGATATTTAGTGATAGGGCTCTATAACGCAGCATTGGGTAAACAGAACAGGTATATCTACTAACTATGAAGAAGAATGCCATATTTTTCGATCAACCATTCACTTAACTCCATTTTTGAAAAAAATACATTTATTCCCATTTGCCTTTAGGATACTCATAATATAAGTAATCTCATGATCATATGTGAGGATCATAAATTGGCAATACTATATAAACTGAAAAAAATTGGTGCGATGCTCGCATCAGACAACTTTCATTTACCACCCTCTTCTGAGCAGAAATAAGTATTTTCAGGCAAAGCGAAGCTAAAGTAAAAATTATAGACTCTATATTTATTTGTATTTCATTGCGGGTATTTTTATTTGTATAAGTACCCTCATACAAACACATTTTAATATTAATATCGTTGTTGTGTGTTATTTTACTACTTTTTTTGTTTTTGTTTTTGTCTTTTTTTTTGTTATTACTATTATTTTTCTTTTCTTTATATGCTATCATTTATTCTCCTTAATATCATATTTGCTGAATACCGAGGTAGATGGCAAATTTATTCTAAGCCAGGAATATGTATAACTAATAATAAAAAGTTAATAATAAATATCGTTGTAATATATACAATTAAATATTAAATAATACCAACAATAGCATTCATGAAAGCTACATATGTATATTTATATAATATTGTCGGAGTCCGTATTATATTAATCTCATGATACGTGTGGAAGCGTGTTCTAATCTTTCGGGCGAGCTTGGGCGCTCTCGTCTTCCATGGTTTCTCAATTACAACTATTCTCCGTTACGATCTCTTATTTCTCCTTTAGTTAATTATCAAATTCTTTCATGTTTTATATATAACCATTTCTCATATTATAAATTAATGTGAAATGGTCAATTGTTTCAAATAAAAAAAAATCAAGGTACTTTAGAGGAAGCTAATATTGAAAATTAGCCATGTAAACCCTATTAGTGAACATCGGCCAGAATAATAACCACATTTTATTTAAAACTACTTAATTTTACACTGATATGATGAATTTAATCAAGATCGTTAGAGCGTTTTTTGATATAATCGTAAAATGTGTTTAGTCCATTAGATAAAGTGTCACCTCGGGTTAGCCGATTTTGTCGAAAAAGTTGTTGTAACATCCCTAACTTATAAAAATCTGAAATATGTAATTTCTCTTCCGTACGACTTTTTGTTTTTAACACACACACCCAGACCATTTTGCTGGACTTGGTTATTTGGACTCAGGGGACCTCAAAAAGTGTATTTCCCTTGAAAATTCAGATTAAAAAATTTTCACGATCGCAATACTTACCCTTACTATATATAACTTATATAGGTAAGTGAAAGTAACAAGTCACTGATTACATATTTGATGGAACTAAACAATTAAGTAAATTTTTCGTCTAAAATCAAAATGGCGCAAATACTACAATATATAAAAAATAATTATGATAATAATAATATTTTCCATGATATTCACCACTCGTAAATATATATTCCAGGAGCTGATTTTTATCATGAGAAATGGGTGTGAAAATTTTCAATTAGGCCCTGGCGGTGATATTCAACTTATTAGATGATAAGTAAAGGTTTCATAAAGGCGCATCCAAAACTGTCCCCGCAAGTTCTATTGGGCTGAATTAATTATTACGGACCGCACTGTACGTCATAATAGACCAGATATTCTCCTTAGATATTTAAGAACAAAAGAAAAGGGATCCCAAACGATAATAATATAAGCCCTACATTAGGAGATAAACTCAGGACATATCAAAAACTGCCTGTAGAATTGAATGAATTATATCATTTGGAAATCGTCACCCCCACTTCAATTATAATATCAATTAATGTGTTGTTACCAAAGTCAACAGTGGCGGGCACGGATGATTTAAGATTACCTATTGATTTCTAAGAGAAGCTCAACAGTAAGCTCTTTTAGATACAGCTCGTATTGTACGAAATTGTTTAAATATTCGAAAACAAATAACATGAAAGTGGCTGAACATCTGGTCTCCCACCTTTCATACTCAATCCACAATAGCGAGATCATAAGAAAAATATGAAAAAAATCGCTAGCAATTCATCGTTCTAAAACCCCAATTTTACCCTATAAAAAAAACAAAACATGATATTCTGATTTCACAGAGAAAAATCTATCAAAGTACTTTAATAAACTTTTTGTAATAACCTTGCCATATATATATATATGTATGTAGGTGATGCCATTACTAAGAAAGAATTTAAAAATGACTAGGAAAAAATAAACTTAAATGTATAATAAAAAAAAAATAAACTTAATTCAATAAAATAAATAAACCAAAACAAGTGGTAAAATTAATATAAATCTTTATTGGTTGAGTTCCTTTGGAAAATAAGTTAAGTACAACTTTCCTATAAACGTTTTACTATTGGTCATTTTTTCCGTATAAACTTATATTTCATGAATGAATTGCCTTCTATGGTTATAGTTTTCTTGAAAAAGAGTGACATACCGGATCAGCAATTTTTCCTTCTTCTGGGATCATTAAGTGACGTTGAAGACTTTGCAGTTGGCCTAAGCGTGGTGAAGCGAGCTGCCAAGACACAGAGGGAACTCTGGACTAAACTGCCTCCCGGATATGGTCAGTTATCTCACCATATCACCCGCTACTAAATAATAGACAGGAATTACATTATATTCTCTCGTCATCCTCACCCATATCACATCCTTTTTTGTTCACAGCAATATTTTTTAATAAACAAATAATTTGTTGTTAGAAGCAATAGAATCGTTCATTGAATAGATAGATGAAACGTCGATAGAATCACTATTCCCTTTTATAAATTTTATTTGATCGGAAAATACTAAACGCCGTTATTGAAAGTACTAATTTCAAGTTAATAGTCAAGAAAATGAAGGAAGCTCGTTTTTTAAGATATCTTGACCAGACATGACATTTTCTTTTCTTTCTCACGAAGAAGCAATCATGAAAAGCATATACATGAAATTTGATGAGAGAGTTGACAAAATTAGCGATTTTATAAATCGACACTGCCGTAAATAGATCGGAATATCCTCCCCCCTCTCCTCCAATCTCATTCTATACTCCCGTAATATTCCGGTTACTTTTCTTCCTTTTCATATTTCGACTATGGTAACTCAATAATAATGTCACCTAAAAATGTAAGAACACTTAAGGGTTCAGGTTTGTCAGAATAATATATTTTCATTTTACAATGATATATTTACACAATAATTTATTTATAATATTCGTTTACTACTCAATTCAAGATCTCCTCCTTCCTTTTTTTATGGAAGTATTCTTTCAAGTCTTCAAGGATTCTTATAGCATTTAGCCTCTTATTCATATTATTTTTCAATTGAAATGAGAAACTCCCCTCCTCACCTTCACAATCCAAATCACCTCTTTGAGTTCTTTCTTTTTTTTTTTCCTGAGAGTCTTGGGTTGGGAACCCCACTCTTCCGCACCGCGGGAGTTGCGCTGGTGTTATTTACGCTCCTATCCACCGAGTAACATATCCATCCAACGCTCCGAAAAGATGCAAAACAACTTTCCTTTTATATCTATATTTTTGTTCTAGTTTGGCATTGATAATGACAAAAAGAACTGTTGTGAAACTGTTTCTTTTTAAAGTCACTTATCTTCACCGTCAACAATAGGTCATCAATGATTATTTCAGAGGTATACGTATAAGAATATTTTGCTTCTTCACTACCGAAGGTAGGAAAGCATTATATTCGTGCGAGAGGTTAAAAAAAAATTTGTGTGCTTAGAATCGAAAATTTCCACTCGCGTTTTACGTTTCAGACATCAATGATCAAATTTGGTTCGGTGTCTGTCTGTAGTCAAATCGATGCAACGGGCATATCACCTACTACCATTCATCCAATTTTCATGAAATTTTCAGGGATTGTGCGAGTTGGTGTCTAGATGGTCCCATATCAATCAAAAAATTAATTGATAATGTATTGTTTGGTCGATTCCAAACGTTACTGGCATGTCACTTAGATTTCGTGTAATTTTAAATAAATTTAAAGTAATTTATAATTTTATTTTTATTTTTGACTTTTTTTTTTGTACAAACTCAAAGTAATTTATACTCTGAGTTTGTAAAAAAAAGTTCAACCAGTTCGTCTTGATCTAGATTTCCTCCTTAAATATCGAAGTTATGTGAACTTCACCCATATTTTTATATTTTCTAGCTTAAAGTGTTTTGTTCTGACTGAAGGAAAGTATTTGTCTCGTTAACTCCAAACAAACAACAAGTTGAATTTCTCTTAGGATTTTAGGAGTGAAAACATAACTGTTAAGTAATAATGTTCAACTTTTATTATATTTGTGTTAATGGTGACATTTTCTACTCTGCAACTGATATAAGTAGTCTGCTAAATGAAAATAGCATATGACAATAAAATATGAAATTATACTAATAAAGCATCAAGAAATAATGAGTTGGAAATGCATTCTTGAAAAACAATTAATTTTTACATACGGCCTTTTGCACTAACAATAGTGAAATGGGTGTTCAGTATGCATTTTTTGTTTTGTTAATTAAGGATAATAAAATATGGAATCTTCAAATACAGCACTCTTTCGCATTTTAATATTAGGTGATAAACGAAATTCGTTGATATCACACCCGCGATTGTTGATGGGATACTGTATTTCCGAATCAGCTTCTCCCAGAGATTTTATTTTCATACGAAAAATTGTATACGTTGTAATAGTCCGTGGGCCAGACCCCCTCCAAAAAATCGGTAAAGTCAATTTTTTTTTACAAAAAAATTTTCAAGTTGAAAATCAGGCGTCGTTTGTAATTAAACGGTCAACAATAATGCAAAACGTGCTGATATAAAACATCTGGAGAATACATTTCTCTTTCTAAAACACTGATTACTTTTTAAAATATTTGAAGTAGATCCGTATAAAATGTACTTAAGCGGCAGAAAAGCGCTACTGGCGTGGGTGCCTACAGGCCTCTACCACACCACTAAGTACTCATAAATGGCTTAGTTATAGTGCTATAATAACGTTTTTGTTATATTATATTGATTGTATTAACGAACAAATATTAATACAATAATTTAATTGCCAAAAAACTTTTTTTAAAATTTATTATTTTTTTATTTATTTATCATTAGTTATTTTTTTAAATTGTAACTTCCTTTATTCTATACGGAGATCGCTTAAGAAGGCCTCTATTATAAAAATCATATAATTATAATAATAAAACAACTCAAAAATACCTTGCAGAATATTTTGAATTTTTTATTTAATATTTGCAATTTAACATTTTATTTTATATATTTACTGATTCTTAGTGGTAAATTAAATTGTATATACTTCCCCGGAAATGAGCCATATCAATATCTGTTTTATAAACTAAAATAATATATACCTAATCTAAACTTCTTTTAATGAATAGATGATGGATTGTTTAGTAAAATTCATATATCGCTATTAAAAAAATCATTTTTATTTCCTTTATTTTTTTCGGAAGTTGGACCATATCACAAAAATACGAAATTTTAATATTAAATGCATTATTCTCTCTGCACAAAATAAATATGGAAAGGGCGAAGCTATAAGTTCTTATAGGTAACTGGAACTGATTGTTAGTATTTGGTCTCAAAATGAGGGAAAACGCGAAATTGAACCCAAACATTGGAAAAATACATTAAGCGAACGACAAAGGAAGTGCCAAAATTTCGGAAAAGAAAATAAGGATCAGTATCCGTTATATCGCTAAACGAATATATAGTAGACAAATGGACAGAATATTTCAAGATGCTGCTTAAAGGGGGTGAAAATGCTTGATCAGTTTGGATCATATTAAGCAGGTTAATTATGTTGAAGACCTTTTCATCAGCAAGAAAGATTTGTTCTAAGCAATTGGCAAGGTCTGGAGGAAGTAAACGAGGTTTATAATGGTGAAAACCACTTTATTTTAGATTGCTATTGAAGTTGCACATTGGGACTATCTTCACTTTGAAGCAGGTTATAGAGAGGTCTATCGATAAAGGAAAATAGCTCTGCTCCTGTTTAGTGCAATTGCAAAAGATTTTTGAAGGTATCAGAAAGGAAAACGAGCTTTTGTGAAAGACTAGTAGATATTAGATCAATCCAAAGTGTGAGACACTGAGCAGATAGAGAGCTATTTTTCTTTTTATATGGACTTCTCTATAACCTGCCTTAAAGTGAAGACAGTCACAATTTTCAACTTCTGTTCCAATGTGCAACATGAGTTTCTCAATCCATATCACTCTGGCAATCGACAATATTTCTTATTCCAGCTTCTACGATTCTTGAGTATAATTTGTTTGGTACACTAAACAGGAATGGATCTTGGTCGCTATTACATTTCCTAGTAAAACCACAGTCCTTTCATATCATTTTCTAATATACTTGTTGCCTATGTAAGCTCAAAAGTGTGCGAAGCAGTTCGGTTCCGCCCTATCAATTTCTTTGTGCAGAGAAAATAATGCATTACACATTAAAATTTCCTATTTTTTTATCATATGGTACAAATTCCGAACAATTTATTCCGCAATTTCTGAACAATAACGAGCTATAACTAATATAAGATTCCTTAAAAAATCTTTTACAAATGCACTAAACAGAAGGAGAGCTATGAGCTATAACTTTCTCGATGTACCTCTCTATATCCTGCTTCAAAGTGAAGATCGTATCGATGTGCACCTTCAGTAATCGAAAATAAAGTGGTTTTTACCATGATAAACATATATCGTCCACTTAATGTCATCCAAACTACAATTGACCCCCTATTAGCAGCATCTTGAAATATTGTGTTCATCTGTCTACTAAACATTCATTTAACTATATAATGAATACTGATCAAGATATTCTGCAAAGTATTTTTAAGTTGTTTTATTATTATAATTATATGATTTTTATAATAGAGGCCTTCTTAAGCGACCTCCGTATAGAATAAAGGAAGTTACAATTTAAAAAAATAACTAATGATAAATAAATAAAAAAATAATAAATTTAAAAAAAAAGTTTTTTGACAATTAAATTATTGTATTAATATTTGTTCGTTAATACAATCAATATAATATAACAAAAACGTTATTATAGCACTATAACTAAGCCATTTATGAGTACTGAGTGGTGTGGTAGAGGCCTGAAGGCACCTACGCCAGTAGCGCTTTTCTGCCGCTTAAGTACATTTTATACGGATCTACTTCAAATATTTTAAAAAGTAATCAGTGTTTTAGAAAGAGAAATGTATTCTCCAGATGTTTTATATCAGCACGTTTTGCATTATTGTTGACCGTTTAATTACAAACGACGCCTGATTTTCAACTTGAAAATTTTTTTGTAAAAAAAATTGACTTTACCGATTTTTTTTAATGTCTACGTCAATTATTTTTCAGTATTTTTTCATGTTTTATTATTCTCTGACTATCCAGCTTTAATAAAAGACCAACTATGATGAATTTAAGCCAAATGCATATTCTCAGTAACAAAAAAACTAACTAAAGTCAAAGTCGTCAATCCGCCATGTTTAAACGCCATTTTGGGGCAGTTCGTTCACTTTTTTTTTGTGGGAACATTGGCTTTTTTTTTAATAAATTGTCACAAGGAACACAACGATATGCAATTTATAGGGATGTGGTGGGGGGGGGGA